AACCAAGCTTAAACATTCTGGTGCCGGCCCATGAAGCAAAACAAAGCGTTCTTTACCGGTCCATTAAGCAAAACCATAAAATTGTAAAGAAATTATTTTTATATCATTTTGACATGCACCTTTTTCGTGCAAAAACATTTTTATGCCAGCCCAACAGCCAAACGCAAACATTCCGCTACCGGTCCACTAAGCAAAACAAAAAGTTCTGTTACCGGCTCAGCAAACAGAACAAAATAACATTAAAAATCCTTCCACTAGTAACGTATGCTTTTTCAGGTTTGGAACCATGAGTTTCAAGCTTTCGCAACCGGCAATTCCTTATAATAATAGTTGCTTAGCTTCGAAAACATAAATTCTAACATCTGGGAACCGGCAATTCCTTGCAATGGTAACCCCTGGTTCCCAGGTTGGGAAGCGTAAGTTTCAAGGTCTGGGAACCGGCAGTTCCTTGCCATGGTAACCTTTGGTTCCCACGTTGGGAACCATCAGTTCCATTCTTTAGGAACCGGAAGTTCTTTGCAATGGTAACCTATGGTTCCCAGGTTAGAAAGCATGAATTCCAACCTCTGGTAACCGGCAGTTGCTTGCAATGGTAACCCATGATTCCCAGGTTGGGCACCAGGAGTTCCAACCTCTGGGAACCGGCAGTTCCTTGCAATGGTAACCTATGGTTCCCACGTTGGCAACCGTGAGTTCCAACCTTTGGAAACCGGCAGTTCCTTGCCATGAACCAAACGCAAACATTCTGGTACCGGTCCATTAAGCAAAACAAAGTTTTCTTTACCGGTCCGTTAAGCAAAACCATAAAATTGTAAAGAAATTGTTTTCATATCATTTTGACATGTACCTTTTTCGTTCAAACACATTTTTATGCCAGCCCAACAGCCAAACGCAAACATTCCGCTACCGGTCCATTAAGCAAAACAAAAGGTTCTGTTACCGGCTCAGTAAACAAAAGAAAACAATATTAAGAACCATGAGTTCTAACTTTTTGCAATCAACAGATCCTTCCACTGGTAACGTTACTTTTTCAGGCTTGGAACCATGAGTTTCAAGCTTTGGGAACCAACAGGTCCTTACAATGAAAGCCGCTTAGCTTCGAAAACATAAATTCTAACTTCTGGGAACCGGCAATTCCTTGCAATGGGAACCTCTGGTTCCCAGGTTGGGAACCGTAAGTTTCAAGGTCTGGGAACCGGCAGTTCCTTGCCATGGTAACCTTTGGTTCCCACGTTGGGAACCATCAGTTCCAACCTTTAGGAACTGGAAGTTCTTTGCAATGGTAACCTGTGGTTCCCAGGTGGGAACCGGCAGTTGCTTGTAATGGTAACCTCTGGTTCCCAGGTTGGGAACCATGCGTTCCAACCTCTGGGAACCGGCAGTTCCTTGCAATGGTAATCTGTGGTTCCCATGTTGGCAACAGTGAGTTCCAACCTTTGGGAACGGGCAGTTCCTTGCCATGAACCAAACGCAAACATTCTGGTACCGGTCCATTAAGCAAAACAAAGCGTTCTCTACCGGTCCGTTAAGCAAAACCATAAAATTGTAAAGAAATTATTTTTATATCATTTTGACATGCACCTTTTTCGTGCAAAAACATTTTTATGCCAGCCCAACAGCCAAACGCAAACATTCCGCTACCGGTCCATTAAGCAAAACAAAAAGTTCTGTTACCGGCTCAGTAAACAAAACAAAACAACATTAAGAACCATGAGTTCTAACTTTTTGCAATCAACAGATCCTTCCACTGGTAACGTTACTTTTTCAGGCTTGGAACCATGAGTTTCAAGCTTTGGGAACCAACAGGTCCTTACAATGAAAGCCGCTTAGCTTCGAAAACATAAATTCTAACTTCTGGGAACCGGCAATTCCTTGCAATGGGAACCTCTGGTTCCCAGGTTGGGAACCGTAAGTTTCAAGGTGTGGGAACCGGCAATTCCTTGCCATGGTAACCTTTGGTTCCCACGTTGGGAACCATCAGTTCCAACCTTTAGGAATTGGAAGTTCTTTGCAATGGTAACCTGTGGTTCCCAGGTTGGGAAGTATGAGTTCCAACCTCTGGGAACCGGCAGTTGCTTGCAATGGTAACCTCTGGTTCCCAGGTTAGGAACCATGAATTCCAACCTCTGGGAACCGGTAATTCCTTGCAATGGTAACCTGTGGTTCCCACGTTGGCAAGAGTGAGTTCCAACCTTTGGGAACCGGCAGTTCCTTGCCATGAATCAAACACAAACATTCTGGTACCGGTCCATGAAGCAAAACAAAGCGTTCTCTACCGGTCCATTAAGCAAAACCATAAAATTGTAAAGAAATTGTTTTCATATCATTTTAACATGCACCTTTTTCGTGCAAAAACATTTTTATGCCGGCCCAGCAGCCGAACGCAAATATTCCGCTACCGGTCCATTAAGCAAAACAAAAGGTTCTGCTACCGGGTCAGTAAACAAAACAAAACAACCATGATTTTTATCTTTTTGGAATCAACAGATCCTTCCACTGGTAATGTATGCTTTTTCAGGTTTGGAACCATGAGTTTCAAACTTTGGGAATCCGCAATTCCTTGCAATGATAGTTGCTTAGCTTCGAAAACATAAATTCTAATTTCTGGGAACCGGTAATTCCTTGCAATGGTACCCTCTGGTTCCCAGGTTGGGAACCGTAAGTTTCAAGGTGTGGGAAGCGGCAGTTCCTTGTCATGGCAACCTTTGATTTCCACGTTGGGAATCATCAATTCCAACCTTTTCTATCTGGGGTCTATGCCGGTGTAATTTCGAAGCTTATGTAAATACGTCCTAATATAATTTTGTACTACAAATCTTGCACAAAGTATGTCCCAATACTACTTTGTACTACAAAATTTGCACATTTTTTTTTACTCACAACAAATTATTTCGCAAAGAAGCTTTTACACACAACAAATTTTTGAAATAAAGAAAATTTTATATATAAACAATTTTTATACCGAACAAATTTTTATACAGAGAAGCTTTTACACACAACAAATTTTTACACATAACAATCATTTTTACACAAAATATTTTTAAGCAAAATATATTTAAACACAAAAAAAATACTTTACTTCGTGTGATCCCCACCATGACATTTATACATGTTCTTACTGGCACATCTTCTGGCATTCTATCTGACATATCTTCTGACATTCTATTTGGCATTCTATCTGGCATATCTTCTGGCATATCTTCTGGCATTCTATCTGGCAAATCTTCTGGCATTCTATCTGGCATATCTTCTGGCATTCTATCTGACATATCTTATGGCATTCTATCTGGGCATATCTTCTGGCATATATTCTGACATATCTTCTGGCATTCTATCTGGCATTCTATCTGGCATATCTTCTGGAATATCTTCTGGCATATCTATCTGGCATATCTTCTGGCATATTTTCTGGCATTCTACCTGGCAAATCTTCTGGCACTCTATCTGACATTTTATCTTCCTACATGAGGTCCGGCAGGGAACACTTGGCGTGGATACTCCCGGTTGAGGTCCGGCAGGGAACACTGGGCGTGGATGGTCGTGGTTGAGGTCCGGCAGGGAACACTGGGCGGGGATGGTCGTGGTTGAGGTCCGGCATTCGGGAAGGCCGATGATGAAGGCTGTGTCTAATCCAATTCGTTGGGAGGAAAGCTTCGGAAAGTTCTCGGGCGTCTCAACAAAGTAAGAATGGATGCTATGGATGAAATTCCAAGATGCTTTCTTTTTCACTGCGCTGTAGCATGGTGCTGTTGCACCTCCTCCAGAAATCGAAAAAGATAACAGCCAGCTTGTTGGCACAATAAGCTTGGGCGCTATGGATGCAAGTCTAAACGCCTTGTGCATTCGAAGCTGAGCACGATAAATGGAGTCATCTGGAAAAACTGTGAAAGATCTCGGAGGGCTTGTGACTGGCCTGAGTGCTACTAGGCAATGTCTACATGCAAATGACATATGACATCCTCGCAATACCAAGGTAGCGCGGTCGCTGCCGAGCGGAATCGGATAAAGTGAGTGCGTTGACTTAAGCACAACTTTGAGAATTCATGAGAATTCGGAGGGATCTCCGATGGTTTGTCAACACAGCTCGCGTGCTATGAGAGGAACACGTCTTTCTGCACTGATGCAGCATGGCCCATGGTCGTTCATGGTCGTTTTGGAGATGGCTTTGGAAAGACTAGGCCAGCGCCAGGAACCACAGAGAAACATAGGACATTGGGAAAGTTCGGCTTGTCAAATCTTGTCCCAGTTGGCCACGCAACAGGTCTAAGTGCCCTCCCTGCGCAGAGGTCTCGTCGTGGCCGTCTTGGCCGGCTTGGCCCACTTCAAGCGTAATTTTTTTACCGAGGCATGAAAAAAACACATCTGCACAGCTTGCCTAAATGATCTGAGTGCTTATGGGCAGGTGTCTAGATGCAGATGCCTTATGCCATATGCCTTCACTACACTCGACTCCACTGATTTTGCGTCGTCATTTCCAAGCCGAATTGCATAAATTGGGTGATCAAGGTCGTCAAGCAAAATTGGAAGGGATCTCAATGAGTTTGTCAACACAGTTGGCCTCGGCGCTATGAACACAAGGCCTAAAGGCCATCCTCACTGCCCCACATTGCATTTTTGTTATCATCATAACTCGAATGCTCCAAACACTGTGTTAAAGTGTGGACATCGAGCTCCAAACCCTTGGATAAAAATTCTATCACAATCTGTATCACAATCTATCAGCAATGATGTGAAGCCATTTGCTCATCGAACAGGAAGGCCGGAATGGCCTGAATCTCTGTGATTCTACAGAAGGCTGTTCCATTGCTGTCCAAGCTGCTAACTCGATGAGTTAAGGCATGTTAAGGCTATCTTGAGCAAATGTTCATCGAACAGGAAGGCCGGAATGGCCTGAATCTCTGTGATTCTACAGAAGGCTGTTCCATTGCTGTCCAAGCTGCTAACTCGATGAGTTAAGGCATGTTAAGGCTATCTTGAGCAAAGTGTCACTGGATGTCACTGGATGTCACTGCCCAGAATCAAGATATTAGGGTATTAGCAGTTAATGGGAATGATGGCTTGAGAAATATTATGATGAGCCATTGCATGCAAGAAATCACTGAAAACTCATGAAGTGTCATGGTGCAAAGTTACACTTGCAGCTCAGAAATGGAGGTTTGAAATGAGCAGAATTCTATATGCAAGACTCGCTACACCGACATGGGATGTGCAAGGTCCTTTGTCCACGCCACAGCTTTTTTATCCTGGGCCCCTTGACAAGCCGGGGCTTGTCAGAAGACACCCCTCGTCTTCCAACCCCACACCCAAAATGGAATGCCTCTTTAAAAACTCCATGGCATTCACGACAGCATCTATGTTTTGGTTCAACTATGTCTCACCTTAGTTTTGGTTCAACTATGTTCAACCGATAAATCCGATAAATCTGTACATCCGACAGCATCTGACCTCAGCCTCCACGGCCAGCAAACATGGATCGCAAGCTCTTCTGACGATGCTGCTGGTTTCCAAGGACAAGCATAACCTCAGAAGAGTGGTAGAGCTGAATAAATAAAAACTTGTAATGTCAAGTTAGGATTAATAAACCCCGCGGTATTAATCAACCCCCTCTGCCCAAAAAAAAAAATGTAATTAAAAAAAAAAAGGTGGTCCCCCAGGATTCATAAACCCCCCGATTAAAAAACCACCAGTGCTGAAATCAATTTTTTATCCAACAATTTTTATTTCCAATTCTATTTATTTCCAATTTGTTTTTACCTTTTTTTTAATCATCATTGTTATACTTAAGGTTTAAGTTGATCATTGAAAATTTCAAAAAACGACTATTCCCCAAATGATTGATTTCTAATTAAAATCTTTATAAAAATCATCAGTTTGGATAGCTCCCAAAGGGTACCCCCCATGAGCCCATGTCCCCCATTAATAATAACCAGGGTTTGTCCCTGATTAATCAACCACCTTTCTGATCCATGAGATTTTAACAAATCCAATAGAATTCTATTAAGATCTAATTGACGTAAGCCATATCCGATCCAAATTTTTATGGTTCAGAGTTGCTTATTATTAAGGGGTGGTCAAGAAACTAGCCAGAAGGTACCCCCCTACCTACCTGGTTGGGGGGGGTTGATTAATCCGATGTTGGCATTACAGAACAAAGACGGAAAGGCTAGCAAAAAAGCTTAGCAAGAAAAATATGCTAAAATATGGCCTGGTTACGTGCCCACTAGGCTGGATCTTTGTCCTCTCTGGTTTTGTCTCTTGATCACTTGGATTTGAATCACCATTCTGCATTGGTGTCGCTGGCATGCGTCCCTCCAGTCTGGATTCACCGCTGTTCATAGGCACATCACTGTGGGTATCGCAAGGCTCATCACATATTTTCCCAGAAGGAGTAGCTTCCATACCCTCGAATGACTGTGAGGTCGGAGCTGTAGCTGAGCTTTGATCCTGAGCTTTCGATCCAGAAGTAAGTAGGCTTAAGATGGAAGTCCCATGAGTCCCACACTTCTGTTTCTTGGACTTTGTAGGCTCTGCGGCTTCATTGGATTCAGCACTTGGACTCTGTAGCCTTGAGTTGGAATCTTCCTGACCATCTCGGTCTTGCTCCTTTGGCTCCCCATCTGTGGAGACAGCTGCTTCAGCTGGTGGTAAAGCTGCAAGGCTTTCCTTCCCACCAAAATTAGGCAGTGAAGAATCAATAACTTTGGCCTCTTTGCTGACAGCCACCAGTCCGTTCGAAGTGTTCGACGTGTTCGAAGCATCTGTAGCTTTCAATTCACTTTGTCTGTCTGCCAGACTTTGCACATTTTGCGCTTTGGCAAAGATGAGACGAGCTGTGCCCGTTGCCGCAGTTGCCTCTACACACTTTGTGGATTTTGTTTCGCAGTGCTTCCCACGGCGCATTGCGGAGCGAGGTCTCTTCCGACTAGGTTTCGGCCTTGACTCAGCCTTTCCTGGCAACCATGGCAAATGCAGGCAGATAAGAAGCATGCAAATACATACATTGAGTATTATTGAGTCATGCAAATACTACATCAATGTGTTTTAAAGTGTTCGTTGATCACAGTGTACTTATAAACATGCTAGCAAGGACAACAGTAGTAGTCTTGCAGCTAAGGGCGGAGAAGAGACATAATTAATCACATTGGATGATGGTAGATAAGTAGAAATATAGAGATCAGTCAAACACTTGGGTCACCATCAGCAATGCTTCCTTCAGCGCACCTGGGTCAAGAGGCGGAAATTCTTCTGCCGGCGGACCATCAAAGGACCTCCAACTTGCTGCATCTTTTCTCTCTGCCACCATGCCAAACATACATCGTGATACAAGCAGAATGAACGGAATATTGCCAAGCAGCATCAAATTGAACTTCAACTCCTGCTTGCTCATCCACTCACGAAGTCCTGAGGCTCGTTTCTCAAAGCCAAACAAACCAATTGTTGCATGTTTAAAACGTCGATAAACAGCACAGCGGCCACAGCTGCCACAGCGGCCATAGCTGCCGTAGCTGAGTGTGGCACGTTCTGCTGTGCGCTTGGCACCAAGGTTCTGCAGAGCCATGTGCAGCTCAGCTGCACGACTGTGGGCAAAGACCAAGCGGCCTCTGTGTGCGGTGCGCAAAGCTGGGTCTGCTGGAACTCTTTGTTGCCGAAGATCACCATAGATTTCAATACATCAAGTCATCCAAGGTGCTGGTCTTTGTCCAATGCATGAGGATCCGGAAGCAGGGCAGTGAAACCTGCTCCATGAAAGCGAAACCCCGCAAAAAGCGCACATCGCTGCTGTCAAATCCAACCCAATTTAGCATGAAGTTGTTTCTGGCCTTTGCCAGTGGCCCTGCTTTGGCCGCACAAAGTGACCAGCTTCCCTGTCATGACGAAGCTATGACTCAGCTTTCATCCTTGACACTATCATCACAGCCCTTGTCCAACAAATTAAAGCCATCACTAAGCCGATGGCTTGCAGTGCAGGGCAGCGCTGCAGCAGAGGAAGTAGCAACTCCTTGCTGAGATAGAGGCCTGGATGTTTCCCAGTCGCCTGCAAACGTCATCTATATGTGATGATGGACTGTTTCAGCATTTACAACCGGCATCAAGCAGCCAGGTTAAAAGCTCGTGAATAACAATAATATCATTGATAAGAATGATTGTGGCCATTGATCATTATGAGAATCATTCTGATTAAATATACATAAATATATATATATATATCAAAGAACGTTGCTCATTGAACAAATTTCCAAAGAAGCAGAACGACGGTGACTTGCACAGAACCCAACCTCAGCTAGCCGGACTTGAACTGAACGTGCCCTGCCAGGATTGGCTGGCATTGGGATGGAAGGGACTTCATCTTCCACCTGAGCAAGGCTTTAGGGTCCCAGAGGACCCGAAGGAATGGCAAAATGGCTGAAAAAAGTGGATGCCATTAACATTTTGCACTGATCACTGCTAACGGATGTCTAATTGCTCTCATGGTTTGCAATTTCTATTGACAAGTGGATGCCCATCCCCTACTTTGAGTTAATGGCCAATGCTATTGTCGGTGCTCACATGTCGTTCAGAACACCAGATATATCCAGAGGTGTGATGTGGCCGTGCAACCAGTGGAAGGGATTCCTGGTGTTAGTTTTAAAGAGCCCCTATGAAATGGGGTATGACTATATATCTAAACTATATATATATATTAATTATATAAGTATACGGCCAGGACGGGGGTGTTGCCCAGGGAAGTACGTTTTGACTGCGCATGGCCAGTGTTTTATGCATTTTGGGTTGTCAGCGGAATGGCTGACGAGATTTGTTTCCAAAACACAAAACCCTAAATCCTAAACCCTAAAATCTAAATCTGACATGAAACCCAAAGCAAGCGTTGAAAGTAATTAGAATCTCATTAAAACCGTGGTAAAAACCGTGAAAACCCTAAATGAAACCCTAGCTACTCCGCGCTACTCCGCTACTCCGTGCTATGTTCCAATTCAATTACCCAATGTAATTGACACGATATCGAAACGATGACGGAGTAAGAAAGCCTTCAATACTTCACCTTCCCACACTTTCCCTAAACAAAACCCAAACAAATCCTGAACAAACCCTAAAGAATTGGTGACATGATAAACCTCTGGGCGGCACCCCTGGCCTGAGGGTAGCTATACATAATTTATACATACATATCATTGTCTAGATTGAAAGTACATATGTGTATATCTAATTATATCATATAATATCATACCTATATCTATATCTATATCTATATCCTCATCCATATTATATATATATATTACAGTATGTATATATATACCTGAGAAGGGGTGGAACGAAAGCCAGCGCTTGCTTTTTGACTCGCGCGGGGGCGCGTGAAACTCCACCTCATCCATATGGCATGGCTCAAACATGAAGCGCGCCAACATCAACAATTGCTATCGGGTCATAATCTTCCAATCATTAAATGGACCTTTTTAGGGTAAACTCCACGATTTTGTAACTTCTATATCCAAATATGTTTCCTACAATGTACTGCGGCATTGTGAAAAGTTTTATCTCAAGTTCCGTAAATCCGCCTTTGGTTGCTCATTTATCTTAAAACAGCGCAAGTTTGCTCCCACCTATTGTAAATAAATAATACCCGCTTTTTTGTGTGAACAGTGGTCATGTGACCTCTCACAGACTAAATTGTTTTCTCCCCAGAATCGTGGTCCATGCTTCTCCGCGAAGTTCCGCAACATTTTGGCCGTACGGTGCGAAATCAAAACATAGCTCTACTCGCAAAATGGGCAGTGCAAACCCAAGACAATATTATTACATACGTAAGAAAGGGTATAAGAACGAATGAAAATCGAGGAAAACAATGCAAAACCCACGGGAAATATAGAACAGTGGCGAACATGCAGTCCAAATCAAAAGTATATATATTTAGGCCATTTACAGACCTGGGTACCCCCCCCCACCCCCAAGGGTCTGGAAAATAGGTATTTTACAGGAAATGTCGCGGAATAGCATCATCCCTGACATCGATAGAGATAATTGTTTGGCATCCCGGAAAATCTTCTCAGCTATCACACTCGCCAAACATCCCTTTTAAAAGGCACACATACTATCACGGACGTACAGATGCATATCATTCCCGTCATTGCCATTAGAAGATTCAAATTCTTTCTCATTCTTTCTCGATGTTTTAGTACAAGATTCACTTTTAGTTCTGTTTCAGCCTTCTCAGTACGGCCTCTTACAATGATATTACAGCATTTGTCTCCTAACCTAGGTGGCTCCTGGGCGCAATCTTCATTCCAATGCTTTGTGACAATAACCAGAGGCCTGGAGCCTATGCATCACTTGACAGTCGACTCAGTTCTAAACCGGAAAGACTATTCCTTCCGTTTACCAGTAGATCGTTTTTGTAATTCTTATCACAAAACTACCAGAATCAGGGAGGCACCAAAAAACGTCAAACAGTTTTAAGCATTATAAATCCGCCCACACCGCTTTGGCGGTGAAGGCGTGCTTATTGGGGGGCAAAACAGCAACACTAAATGCTCAATGACATTTGTTAATATAGCAGTCGCTATATCAGCTTTAGCTGGGGGGGGGCAAAAACGGTTTCGCACCGAGACCAGAATACGGTGGTGTTTTCGACATTTTTCGAGGATTTTTGGGTGTCTGAGCGCAAGAGGGTATTGAAATGGAATTTTGGGTCATTTTGGTAGCTTTCCGGCAATGGAAAAACGGCCAAAAATGAAAAAAACATTGTACATAGCAAGATTTTGCAGGGTTTTTGGATGCCAGAGCATTGAAAACACTGCAAAAACAAGTGTTTTGGACTGACGTTATAGCAAAAAACGTGTAAATTACCGTATGCTTGACTGGAAACATTACAAAAACACTGTCAAAAGCAATGTTTTGGAAGGATTTACTGCCTTTATGGCAAAAAACGTGTAAATTACCGTCTGTTTGACTGGAAACATTGGAAAAACACTGTCAAAAACAATGTTTTGGAAGGATTTGTTATATATATGTTGGAGTTGGCTACCGGCATTGGAACATGGAAAAATTGAAGAAAACACTGTAAATAGCGGTATTTTCAACGGTTGGGGAGATAAGGGAATTGGAAGCATTGTCGAACATGATGTTTTCGACCGGTTTTATGGCGACAAAAGTGTAAAGTACCGTGCTTTGAAGGAAACCATTGCAAAAACATGGAAACACATTCAAAGAACACGGGATTTGGGGGACTATCTAGGCGTCGTTGTCTAGCTATTTGAAATTCCGCAGCTTGGAGAGCCTCCAAGGGATGGAAAAGTGAAAATTCCATAGCTTGGGAAGCTGTCACGGCGGGGAAAAGTGAAAATTCCCTAGCTTGGGAAGCCCCCACGGGGGGGAAAAGTGAAAATTCCCTAGCTTGGGGAGCCCCCACGGGGGGGAAAAGTGAAAATTCCCTAGCTTGGGGAGCCCCCACGGGGGGAAAAGTGAAAATTCCCTAGCTTGGGGAGAGTGAAAATTCCCTAGCTTGGGGAGCCCCCACGGGGGGGAAAAGTGAAAATTCCCTAGCTTGGGGAGCCCCCACGGGGGGGGGGAAAGTGAAAATTCTTAGCTTGGGGAGCCCCCACGGGGGAAAACCACCCTTAGCCCCTCTCACGGACCGAAATAAACTTGCGGTGTGGGCGGCCACCCCACGCGAAGCGGGGTGAATACTCTAATCTGCAGATTGTATTTATTTTTCTTACTCTGTGAACGAAATCACACTTTTCTAACTTCACACAGATTACCATGAAACCAATTTTCCCATGCAACTCTTAAAATCTTACAACTCATACATCTTTTTTCCTATACCATCCGCATCTTGCTCCAAGGTTTCATGGCAATGTCTTGTACGCGAGTCAGCCACTATTTCCTATCACCAAACTACATTGCTCATTATCTACAGGAACCAAATCGGATTTCCTGCTCAACGTTTCCGCTCGTTAACATTGTCTTGGTTTTCACTATAATTTTAAAGCATTTTTAGTTATAACATGTTCCTAGGTTTTCACTGTATTTTTCTAACAGGTTACATGCTTCCTAGCATGTTCACGCGTGTCCTCCATGTTGTACTGTTTTCTACATCGTTTCCTCTGGTTGTTGACAAGCATTTCCTAGCTTGTACACCGTTTTCCTAATATTGTCACAACTTTTCTTCCATTTTCCACTGCTTTTTCTACCGTTTCCTGTGGTTACTTTCTTCTCTTTTGTAGATTTTCACTGTGTTTTGTCCAGCTTTTTTTATTACATGCTTCCTACCATTTTCACCGCTTTCCTCTATGGTTTTTTGTACCATTTCCTCTCGTTTCCTGCATTTCATGCATTTTCAATATATTTTTCCAAGAGTTTTACCCGTCTCCTTCAGTTTCCGATCGTTTTTGCACCATTTCCTCTGGTTGTTATCGCATTTTCCTGCACTTTCACTGTATTTTTCCAGCATGTTTACTGCATCGTCGTTTGTTCCTAGCAGTCGCTCCGGTTTCCTCCATGTTCCAACAGATTTTGCACCCTTTATTCTGGTTGTTATCACATTTTCCTGCCAGGTTGTTATCACATTTTCCTTCACTGTATCTTTCCAGCATTTTCCAGTGGATTTTGCACGATTTCCTCTGATTGTTATCATGTTTTCCTGCAGTTTCTATATCCTCTTCGTGGGTTTTCAGTCTATTCATGCATTTTTAATCTATTTTTCCAAGATTTTTACCCGTCTCCTTTTTGCACCATTTCCTCTGGTTTGCTGCATTTTCAATGTATTTTTCCAAGAGTTTTACCCGTCTCCTTGATTTTTCCGATCGTTTTTGCACCATTTCCTCTGGTTGTTATCGCATTTTCCTGCACTTTCACTGTCTTTTTCCAACATGTTTACTGCATCGTCATAGTTTGTTCCTAGCAGTCACTCCGGTTTCCTCCATGTTCGAACAGATTTTGCATGGTTTGTTCCTAGCATTTTCCTCTGATCGTTATCATGTTTTCCTCAAGTTTCATTGTATTTTCCAATACATCCTCTTCGTGGGTTTTCAATATGTTTTGTCCAGCATTTTTTTAACTACATGTTTCCTATCATTTTCACCTCTTTCCTCCATAGGTTTTTGCACCATTTCCTCTGGTTTCCTGCATTTTCATACCTTTTCAATATTAATATTAATCCAAGAGTTTTACCTGACTCCTTCATTTTCCGATCCTTTTTGCACCATTTCCTCTCGTTGTTATCACATTTTCCTGCGCTTTCACTGTGTTTTTCCAGCATGTTTACTGCATCGTCATGGTTTGCGCCTAGCATTCGCTCTGGTTTCCTCCATTTTCCAAGGGATTTTCCATGGTTTGTTCCTAGCATTCGCTCCGTTTTCGTCCGTTTTCCAGGGGATTTTGTACGATTTCCTCTGATCGTTATCATGTTCTCCTGCAGTTTCATTATATTTTCCAATACATCCTCATGGTCTCTCCGGCCACCAAAAAGGCGGACCTAGGGGGAATCGATACCCCACCGTCAGCAAATTACCTAGTGGTACATAATCCAGCAAAATGCTCCGTTTTCTGGCGCTCAACACAGGGGCACGGCGAGATTTCGTTCCCTTTCGGCAACCACCCCCCCCACACCCCCTATTCTCACCTCGTTCGCAAACAGCAACTAGCCAGCTAGCTGGCTTTCGTAATTTTTCTAACATGTTACATGCCTCCTAGCATGTTCACGCGTGTCCTCCATGTTGTACTGTTTTCTACATCGTTTCCTCTGGTTGTTGACAAGCATTTCCTAGCTTGTACACCGTTTTCTTAATATTGTCACAACTTTTCTTCCATTTTCCACTGCTTTTTCTACCGTTTCCTGTGGTTACTTTCTTCTCTTTTGTAGGTTTTCACTGTGTTTTGTCCAGCTTTTTTTATTACATGCTTCCTACCATTTTCACCGCTTTCCTCTATGGTTTTTTGTACCATTTCCTCTCGTTTCCTGCATTTCATGCATTTTCAATATATTTTTCCAAGAGTTTTACCCGTCTCCTTCAGTTTCCAATCGTTTTTGCACCATTTCCTCTGGTTGTTATCGCATTTTCCTGCACTTTCACTGTATTTTTCCAGCATGTTTACTGCATCGTCGTTTGTTCCTAGCAGTCGCTCCGGTTTCCTCCATGTTCCAACAGATTTTGCACCCTTTATTCTGGTTGTTATCACATTTTCCTGCCAGGTTGTTATCACATTTTCCTTCACTGTATCTTTCCAGCATTTTCCAGTGGATTTTGCACGATTTCCTCTGATTGTTATCATGTTTTCCTGCAGTTTCTATATCCTCTTCGTGGGTTTTCAGTCTATTCATGCATTTTTAATCTATTTTTCCAAGATTTTTACCCGTCTCCTTTTTGCACCATTTCCTCTGGTTTGCTGCATTTTCAATGTATTTTTCCAAGAGTTTTACCCGTCTCCTTGATTTTTCCGATCGTTTTTGCACCATTTCCTCTGGTTGTTATCGCATTTTCCTGCACTTTCACTGTCTTTTTCCAACATGTTTACTGCATCGTCATAGTTTGTTCCTAGCAGTCACTCCGGTTTCCTCCATGTTCGAACAGATTTTGCATGGTTTGTTCCTAGCATTTTCCTCTGATCGTTATCATGCTTTCCTCAAGTTTCATTTTATTTTCCAATACATCCTCTTCGTGGGTTTTCAATATGTTTTGTCCAGCATTTTTTTACTACATGTTTCCTATCATTTTCACCTCTTTCCTCCATAGGTTTTTGCACCATTTCCTCTGGTTTCCTGCATTTTCATACCTTTTCAATATTAATATTTATCCAAGAGTTTTACCTGTCTCCTTCATTTTCCGATCCTTTTTGCACCATTTCCTCTCGTTGTTATCACATTTTCCTGCACTTTCACTGTGTTTTTCCAGCATGTTTACTGCATCGTCATGGTTTGCGCCTAGCATTCGCTCCGGTTTCCTCCATTTTCCAAGGGATTTTCCATGGTTTGTTCCTCGCATTCGCTCCGTTTTCGTCCGTTTTCCAGGGGATTTTGTACAATTTCCTCTGATCGTTATCATGTTCTCCTGCAGTTTCATTGTATTTTCCAATACATCCTCATGGTCTCTCCGGCCACCAAAAAGGCGGACCTAGGGGGAATCGATACCCCACCGTCAGCAAATTACCTAGTGGTACATAATCCAGCAAAATGCTCCGTTTTCTCGCGCTCAACACAGGGGCACGGCGAGATTTCGTTCCCTTTCGGCAACCACCCCCCCCACACCCCCTATTCTCACCTCGTTCGCAAACAGCAACTAGCCAGCTAGCTGGCTTTCGTAATATATATGCAACCTCTGGGTTTGACCCACACGCACACACAAACACACATATCCGTGTTCTCTCTAGAGCAAAGCTGAGCGCAGGACCACGCACTCATTGCTGGCAGGGCGGGTGTCCAGTTCAACCTTGTCCGGATCTCCACAGAAATATGTTCCCCCGATGGAAACCACACCAAACACCTCCAAAAATGATCCAAAAGTAACAATTCCTCCGCTGAACCACGACTAGTTAAACAAAACAAGCAAAAGAGACGCTGCAATATTCCCGTTGCACAGCTTTGACCAGGCAACAACTTTAAGGTACCCAGATTTCAGATCATAGCGAAGATCTATGTTCCTTAGCAACATTCAAAACGGATGCAAAACAACCGTAAAGCCATCTTTCAGGGTGGGGATTGGACCGAACATGAGATCTTGGATAATGTCGATTGTTGTCGTGGTGGGCACCGGCAAAACAACAAAACCTGAGGAGGTCGGTCAAGAAATACAAATCATGGACAAATACTACCTAGTGAAATGGCCAACAACATAAACGGGTATCACCAGTAATGGGAAAACCTGGGAGGATACAGGTTGCATGGTCCTTGAAGTTGGGGTTGAGAAGCTACGGGGCCAGAATTAATGCTATTCCAGGTAGAAAATGGTTGGCCATGCCAGGGGTAATCCAAGTTATTTGCAGGGTTTACACTTCTGAGCAGTTCCTAACTGACCGGTGCTTAGAACCATCTACCAAGACTTTGATCCTGACAATTCGTTGGGTTCGGGGACATGATTCTATCATCATGGAAGTTGAATGGAACCCCAACAGTAGCCAGCCTAACAATAGAGGTTTGATAAGGCCTCAACAGGGGTGATGGTGCGCAATAAACCCTTAGATATCTTAGATCTTAATAGGCTTGAATCGTTGGAGGGGATGACCTTATATGAATGAGTCCAAGGAAATGATGGTGAAGCAACCCATCTGCCGAAAAGGTTCTTGCAGCCAAGCCCAGCAAGATCCTTTACCTTCCTTGCACGGCAGTATTTGGAATATCCTCAGTTGGGAAGATCTTTCAGAGAGATCCCAGAGGGCAAATCCATCTGACATCCTCTGAGTATCAATTCTGATTGTAATGACAAGTAGCGGCGATGGGCATCGGTCCCTTTCTTTTTGGGATTGGGCATGAATCGAATGAGGTCCTTAGTCAACTGCAGAAGCATCTTGGCAAAGAATTTGCAAAAAGACTCAAAAGGTCTTGCACACTGCGGCTTTCATTTCCGAGTTTCGCATTTGCCCAAGTTTTCGTGCAAAAGATCTCAACATTTGCAAGCTAGGTTTTAGTTTAGTTTCCAAAGGAAGACAGCTCAAAGTGGTAATGTACTGGAAAGAGGGACGGTGAACCAAACTTGCTTCAGGCCAGCTGATCTGATCATCAAACCCAAATCATCTCTCGATTGAACATTCTACAAGTCCAGAGCCCTTCTGCTGTAGTAGAATCATTCAATGATTGTCTTTCCAAGAATCTTCCCCGAGCAAGGACAGAGGCCGCTCAGCTTGAGGGGCTTTTCCTGCCTCTCCGTTTGTTGTCCTATGCAACAAATGTATACAAATGTTGCTTCAAATTGGCTTGAACTGTGACACTTTCAGAATTATGTCGGTTCATGTCAGTCCTGTTTGTTGAATTCTTGGCGTTTTTTGATGGCATCCTTAGCAGGTGCTCATTGAATCATTTTGCTCTGCAAAAATTGTCTGTGAACAAGTAGAATACCAAGAACACGGCTCTGTCTTTGACTTTTTCCTGATGGCGAAAGCCTGCTAGAAGCGAGCAGCCAAGAGAAGCCTTTCAGGTTGAATCTCCCACATTGGCCACTGCCTTCAGTCGTGCCAATGCTGCCAAAGCAGTTTTCTTCTTTCTCTTTTCCTTCCCCTTTCCCTGACAGGAAGGCAGTGCGACATCCAACTCATCCAACTCCTCGGGCATCTTTCTAGACTTTGGCCCGCTGCCTTCAACTGCGGAAGCATAAATCGACAAAGTCCTTGAAGCCGTCGTACTGCCAACCTTCGCCTGACACGGGCCACCATGTGATCCATGTGGCCGGGCTGGTGGGGCTGGTGGGGCCACTGGGGCCCAGGCGCTTTGATGCCCAGCCCAGTTTGACTGATGAAGCGAACCTTCCAACGCTCGGTGCAGAAATTTGGTGAAGGCTAAAGGTGTCACTGGAATATCTGGAATCCAAGAGCGCAATTCTTCTGAGATGGCCCCCATGCAAGTTTAGCCGCTTAGCGACATCCCGACCTCCGTTGCATATTGCCGACATGTCTGGCTATCACCTCGCATGGCAAACATGTCATGCTTGTCTCAAACTTTCCGCTGGTCCAGAGGTTCATTGCAGAGGTTCAGTGCCTGTCCACAACCTGTCGACTCTTCTTGCAGCCATGTGTCTGGGGGCTGCGATCAAAGTGGGAAAGAGTTCATGCAGTTGCTGTGCACCACACCACTCCTGTGCTTGTCTTGCAAGTATGTGTGCTCAACTATTTCTCACTATTTTCATGTCCATCCTGAGAAACAAACGGATGCAATAGCTACGGAAGCTGCGTCTCCTCCGACTTGCGAATGCTGCCAGTCTCAGCGTGAAACTTGCTCTGGAGTCCACCGCTGTTGGTGTACGGAGATGTCACACCTGCACAAGCACGGGACTTTGCCGTGGAAGATGCACACGACCCGTCACAAGTCTGTCCTGCATACATTCTGTAACGCAGCACCACTTTGTCCTGCAGGGCACTTGCTGATTCATCAAATCTACAATTGTAAATGCATAGTAATACAGTACGTACATGTATATAAGTACTATATGTAAATACACGCATTCCGGGGATTTTCAGTGTCTGTATGTCGGACTCGCTCCCTCAGTCCACTCAGTCCTTTGCAAAGTGCCTCACTGAAAACTCGGCATCCTGGATCTGGAAACTTCGTGAGTTCTGACTGATGAACTCAGCTGAACTTCGCTGAATCTGTGTGACAGGTGGCCTCAACAGAGTCTGGAAGACGCCGCAGAAGGTTGTGCACTGCATCTGGTCGGCAGATGAAGCCATGCAAATATCTGGTCAGGGGCGTGAAACCGGCCAAGTAGCATGGGCACTTGTGTTGGCACGCAATCTTGTGTAATCAAACGTCTTGAATGCAAACAAGGATCCCATTCACCAGACCATTTCGGGTCGAGACATCGTCCAAGACTTAGAGATTCAAAGGCAGAAACACATCTGCCACAAACGACAAAAACACCTCTTCTCTGGAATTTGCACAAGATCTAATTGCAAACTAAGATTCCAAGAAAACGCGGATTCTGAGATGTGCTTAAGCCCCAAAGAAAGGCACCTGTCTCCTGATTCAGTGAAACTGACTCTTGTTTGAGTCACAACTTGGAGTGAATCCAGATCTGTAACACTTTGCAATACCTTTTGGACTCCTTCATGCGCTGGTACGCATCGTAAATGATCTTGATGAAACTTCCTGATGGAGACCGGAAGCACAACGAAGCATCAAGGTTTCAGTGGAGCTCAAAGAAAACAGTCAGTCCTGCAGGCAGATCAACACAACATGATGAAGCGCCACCTTCCCGAACTTTCCACCTTGGTCTTCGGTACGACTTACATCCAGAACATCCAGAAGTCGTGCAATAGCCTTTCTTGCCTCCTTCATTCTTCTGATTTGCAACCGAAGCTCGTGATGCCTTCCATGTCATCGTCCAAGCTGACCACATAAGTGTCGGCTGGAAAGAATTTATAGATAAAATTGCCTCAAAACAAACCAGAAATCCAGCCATCAACTTCGCAAATGTGTAGCAAGCAGCTTAGCAGCTAAACAAATCAAACACATCACACCAAGCCGAAGGAGAATTCCTTTGGCAATTGGAGACCTGCATCGTTGATAATACAGCCAAGAAGCGGCTATCCCGCACACCAGGAACTGAAACTTGAATCCGTACATCTGTCCAGTCAGAGTCCTGACATCAAAGAGAGGTTCGCAAATAACATATGCAGCACATACATGCATAACTACAGATCCTTCTGCTCAGCCATGGCAATTTGGTTTCATGATGTTTCATGGACCATACCAGCCTCAAGCGCTTTGCGGTACTCATTCATTTCCTCCTCATTCGCCACGAACAGTGTAACCCGCTCCTTGGGCACACCTTCCCTGTCATGTTACAGAAGGAAAATATGAACATGATGTACGAATTGAACACACACAGAAACCTGGATGTGCAAACTCTGCAAACTCGTGCCTGGACAAGAAACCTAAAGTATGATCCACAATGAAGGGCTGATTGGAGTCTTTGAAGCGTTTCTTTTTTGTTACCTCAAGTGAATGCAGAGCGTTCAGGTGGGTCCTGATCCCAAGACATCAATGCATTCGCTACGATCGCTATACCAAGCCTCCTGTGTTGATCGCCAGCGACGGTATGTCGGAATCACCACCTGCAAAGCGGGTATTCAAAGTAAAGGCAAACATTATGGACATTGGTCATCCTTTGTTACAACATTTCGTGGTCTTCTCAGAGTCTTCTCATTATTTCTTATTACACATTCGTGCTATGACGCTGTGACCCGGGTGACCGGTGGGTCACCGGTCACGGGCATGGACAATGCCTCGTAGTCAACCGGCTCAGCACATGTCGTGAGGTGTGGAGCTCTCGCAGCTCTCTCATCACCTCCCTGGCGACTTCAAGCCCGAAGCTTGCTCCAAATGCCAAAGAAAACAAATGCAGATAAATGGGTTTATTTTTTTTGATCAGGTTTGTTGTTTTTTCTTTCCTGGTACCATTTGCCTGTATTTGCAAAATTTTGGCATGTTCACCTTCCATTTTGCGTGGTATTCGCTACATCTTAGCATATTTGCCTTCCATTTTGCATGCTATTTGCTACATTTTGGCCCTTCAAACGTTCATGTATCATGTAGGTTTCTTTAGGTTTCTTGAGGGTTTCACTTGGGGTTTCTTTAGGTTTCTTTCGGTTTCATTTTCATTTAGGAATTATTTAGGGTTTCTTTGGGTTTTCATTTAGGGTTTCATTTAGGGTTTCATTTAAGGTTTCATTTAAGGTTTCTTGTTCGGATTTCTTATTAGGATTTTTTTGGGGTGTCTTTGGGTTTCATCTAGGGCTTCTCTAGGGTTTCATATAGGATACAAACAGGAGAGAATAAAGCAAAAGAAAAAGAAAAGCAAAGAGACAGTAAAGAAAGGCAGGGGAGCAAAAGGGCATGACTGCAGAAAAAGAACAAGTAGAAGAAGAAAGGCAGAGAAGCAGAAAAGCAGAGCAGCAGGAAAAGCAAAAGCGGAAAAGAGAGAAGCAAGAAAAGCAAGCAGAGAAGCAGAAAAGCAGAGAAGTAGAAAAGGAGAGAAGCAGGAACAGCAGAAAACCGGCGATCAAAAGAAAAAAACTAAAATAAATAGCCCTCCATGATAAATTGTCAAACGTTGCATTTCATAAAATCTATTTACACTGCTATGTTGACAAGCTCTGGCTTATCTATGCGCATGCTGATCAGACATAGCGCCTCATGTGCAGCTTGATCCATCAGTCCAGATGCTGGCAAGGCTTTGGTCTGAGCCAAGTTGCATGGCAGGACGAGGCAGGACAACAGAGCAAGTGCGAACCTGCAAACATGCTTATGATATAATTATGATTACCTTCGCTAGAGGAATATCGGTCGCAATACATTCAAGTTTGTTCCTCTACTAGAGCCAGCAAAGTCTTCAAGTTTCCCTCAATGTTTCCTCACCTGACATACATCCAGGATTGTGCTCAGAATTTTCAAGAGGGAGCTCACAAGGAGCTCATGGGAGTCGCTCGGAGTCACTTTTTATGTGCGAATTTGCGAAAGCTCGGGAGCTCACTTTGGAGCCTAAGCAGCTAAGCATCTCTGCGGCCGGCACTCACAGTGCGTGCCCAGCACTGGATGAGAAATTCTTCCACTCAGCCCATGGCTCAGCCCATGGCATCCTCTGAACCTGGGACATCACCCTCTGGGCTTGCACCGGCAAAGGTTGAGAAAGCTGACCACATTGCACATTGGCTGGTGGAACATGTGGAACGTGCCAACCCAACATCTGCTGCATCCATGCTGGATCTCTAGCTTCAGCGTAGGGATAAATAACTTCCTGATGCCGAAATTGGTCATTTCGCACTGCGCGAATCACCTCTTTCCCAAAGGCAGCATCTGCTGCCATCTCCTCAAAGAGTGCCTGGTCTGCCTCAGACATTGGCGCCTCATTCGTACTCTTCCTGTGCCTGGCCCGCTGCGCCAGCTCGCAGCTACTGATGATGCGAGTGAGCAAAGTTCGCATTTCCCTTGAAAAGTCTTGGTTCCCAACGCAAAACCTCAGCTTCCTTGCTAGCTTTGACCAAGAATCTCCTGCGACCAGCTCCTGCAAGAGGTTTTGCTCAATCTTTGTAAAAGTTTGCCTCAACTCGTTCTGGACCTCTGCATCATATCTTTGAAAGTTCATTGGATCTGGCTTGTTGTGAAGCCACGTCTTCAAACCAAAGTTGCGCCACATTAGCAGTTCACGTACGGATTGCTTCGCCCGCATCACATTGTTCAGATCCTCTTCGTTCTTGCAATCAACGGCCTTTCTGGTCAAAAGCTCAAGGGCGAGGGTCGCAAGTCGCACTGCTTCCATCGCACTTCGGTGACTGTCCTCCAGCAATTCTCGAGTGGAATCTAACCTTTCACCAAGGAGCTCCTCCACATCTGCGAGTGCACCCTCCAGTGCCACCGCCGGATCCATTGATGGAGGTTTGTCACTTTCAAGCTGCTTGTCGCTCTTGGCCACCCACTGGTGGCGTTGGAGCTTTTCGATTTTTTCGCTTTTCCAATCCTTCACCTTTCCTGACCAATCTCCTGGTGATGCTCGGAAGTCACCCTTTGTCTTGGTCTTGGACTGCGCCCATTCTCCCAGGGCTTTCCAGTCATCTTTTCCTCTCGACTGTCCATTCCATGTCTCATGGCCTTCTGAGTTCCAGGCCTTTGCCAAAGATCGAGAGCTCTCCCTATCGTGCCATTTCTTTTCAGAGCTCTCCTCCCACCACCGCGATGCTGGCTTGCTGTACCAGGACATGGCGAATAGCCTGCGACCAGGTTTTCCTTGCAAGACTTTGGCAAGGTCGTTCAGTCGGCTCGCGAGCCTTCAAACCAAAGGGCATTTCAGGATGTGTATACACTGCATACTTCATAGGAGAGACGCTGGTCTTGAGCAGAACAATCCCAGGCAGACTAGGTCCTAGGTCCAAAACAATACCTGTTGCAAGCGATCGTAGCCACACAAGTCAAGTGATGAACCGCTGCCAGTCAACTCTGGCACTCTGGCCTTTTTTCCTCAGTGCGCGCCGCAGGTTGCTTCCAGCTATCTTCACGAGCTTGCCTGGTCTCCAGAGGATATGCTACCACTCAACCTTTTGTACTGAGGTGAAAGCATGGAAAACGGGGAATGGCTGGAAGTCTCAACTTTGATTTGTCCCCATTTGTTCCCATTTGTCCCCAAGTCTCTCTATCAAAGTTCTGACTCCAAGGGGACACGGTGCTTGTGACTCTGAGAATGTTGACCGTGTCATGGTGAAGCTCTAAGCGGATGTTGATTGTTGACCGATGACCCCATCGTTTCCAGCGCCTGACAAAAAAGGCACTCCTTGTGTCATCTCTCGCTAGTCGATTTTCTAAGCCTTCCACTCCAGCGCCATCAAAATTTGCGGAAGCATCTGTTGCGCACGGTTTCATGAAAATGTCTGAAGATGTCAAAACATGTCTCAACTCTAAGAGTGGTTTCTATTGTTTTCGCTTAGCCTTTGTACCCTTTGATCTTTCAGCCTCCATTTTTGTATTTTTGTGAACTGCCTATGTTTTTTTTGATTAAACTGTGATCATAGTGATCATCTATTGCTGGGTGGCCTGGGGATTTCCAGCCACTGCTTGCTGCAGCTCTCCAAAGCCTGACCAAGCCAACGTGCAGAGACTGTCTTCAATTGGCGACAAAGCAGAGGATCCAGAGGGCTTTGACAGGGCTTTTGGTGGATGGACTTGGAAGATCTTGGCAGGGAATCAAGTTCAATTTGCCAATTGCAGTGAGACCATGATACAAAATGAATAAGGCCTCACAGCTCAAAAAATCTCTCGATAACACACATTGATATGGACATGTGTACACATACGTAATTAACTGGCTTCACATGGTTTCATATTGTGCACATCTCAAACACTCTGCCGCGTAGAGTCATCCAAGCCTCAGCCTGTCGGCGGTCTCGAAAACGCACGACGCACGCACCTAAGGAAAGCACCGAACAAATTTGAAAAATGAAAACAGAAAGTGCTGGGAAGAAACCTGAGAAGGGGGGAACGAAAGCCAGCATCCCATCTATCCCTATGTTCCCCAATATTTTTCACCCAGAGACTCTTCACCCAGAAACCCTTCTTGCACATACTTTTCACCCAGAGACTCTTCACCCAGAAACTCTTTTTGCACAGATCTTTCACCCAGAGACTCTTCACCCAGAAACTTTTCTTGCACATACTTTTCACCCATATACTTTTTACTCAAAGACTCTTCACCCAGAAACTTTTCTTGCACAGACTTTTCACCCAGAAACTCTTCTTGCACATATTTTTCATCCATATCCTTTTCACCCAGAGACTCTTCACCCAGAAACTCTTCTTGCACATACTTTTCACCAATATACTTTTCGCCCAGAGACTCTTCACCCAGAAACTCTTCTTGCACATACTTTTCACCCTTTTCATCCAGAGACTCTTCACCTAGAAACTCTTCTTGCACATACTTTTCACCCATATACTTTTCACCCAGAGACTCTTCACCCAGAAACCCTTCATGCACATACTTTTAACCCATATACTTTTCACCCAGAGACTCTTCTTGCACATACTTTTCACCCATACACTTTTTACTCAGAGACTCTTCACCCAGAAACTCTTCTTGCACATACTTTTCACCCATATACTTTTCACCCAGAGACTCTTCACACAGAAACTCTTCTTGCACATACTTTTCACCCATATACTTTTCACCCATATACTTTTCACCCAGAGACTCTTCACCCAGAAACTCTTCTTGCACATACTTTTCACCAATATACTTTTCATCCAGAGACTCTTCTTGCACATATTTTTCACCCATATACTTTTTACCCACAGACTCTTCACCCAGAAACTCTTCTTGCACAGACTTTTCACCCATATACTTTTCACCCAGAGACTCTTCACCCAGAAACTCTTCTTGCACAGACTTTTCACCCATATACTTTTCACCAACATACTTTCCACCCATATACTTTTCACCCAGAGACTCTTCTTGCACATACTTTTCACCCATATACTTTTCACCCAGAGACTCTTCACCCAGAAACTCTTCTTGCACATACTTTTCACCCATATACTGTTCACCCCGAGACTCTTCACCCAGAAACTCTTCTCGCACATATTTTTCATCCATATCCTTTCACCCAGAGACTCTTCACCCAGAAACTCTTCTTGCACATACTTTTCACCCATAAAAGTTTCACCCATATACTTTTCATCCAGAGACTCTTCACCCAGAAACTCTTCTTGCACATACTTTTCACCCTTTTCATCCAGAGACTCTTCACCCAGAAACTCTTCTTGCACATACTTTTCACCCATATACTTTTCACCCAGAGACTCTTCGCCCAGAAACCCTTCTTGCACATACTTTTCACCCATATACTTTTCACCCAGAGACTCTTCTTGCACATACTTTTCACCCATATACTTTTCACCCAGAGACTCTTCACCCAGAAACTCTTCTTGCACAGACTTTTCACCCATATACTTTTCACCCATATACTTTTCATCCAGAGACTCTTCACCCAGAAACTCTTCTTGTACATAATTTTCACCCAGAGACTCTTCACACCCAGAAACTCTTCTTGCACAGGCTCTTCACCAATAGGCTCTTCACAAAGAAACTCTTCTTGCACATACTTTTCACCCATATACTTTTCACCCAGAGACTCTTCACCCAGAGAGTCTTCACCCAGAAACTCTTCTTGCACAGACTTTTCACCCATATACTTTTCACCCAGAGACTCTTCTTGCACATACTTTTCACCCATATACTTTTCACCCAGAGACTCTTCACCCAGAAACTCTTCTTGCACATACTTTTCACCAATATACTTTTCGCCCAGAGACTCTTCACCCAGAAACTCTTCTTGCACATACTTTTCACCCATAAACTTTTCACCCACAGACTCTTTACCCAGAAACTTTGCTTGCACATACTTTTCACCCAGAAACTGGTCTTTCACATACTTTTCATCCATATACTTTTCACCCAGAGACTCTTCACCCAGAAACTCTTCTTGCACATACTTTTCACCCATACACTTTTCACCCAGAGACTCTTCACCCAGAAACTCTTTTTGCACAGATTTTTCACCTAGAGACTCTTCACCCAGAAACCTTTCTTGCACATACTTTTCACCCATATACTTTTTACTCAGAGACTCTTCACCCAGAAGCCCTTCTTGCACATACTTTTCACCCATGTACTTTTCACCCAGAGACTCTTCACCCAGAAACTCTTCTTGCACAGACTTTTCACCCATATACTTTTCACCCAGAGACTCTTCACCCAGAAACTCTTCTTGCACAGACTTTTCACCCAGAGACTCTTCACCCAGGAACTCTTCTTGCACAGACTTGTCACCCATATACTTTTCACCCAGAGACTCTTCACCCAGAAACCCTCCTTGCACATACTTTTCACCCAATGTCCTTCTCTCTCCAATCTCCTCTAACTAGCTGGCCCATCTTTCTGTCTGCCCAGAAAACCCCAGAATACCGGACCTAGGAGGAATCGATACCCACCGTCACTGTTTTGCCGCCTGGTACATTACCCTGCAAAACCATACTGCCCGGTCCTAAAACACCACCTATTTCCGCCATTTTTGACCCGTTTGGCAACAACCCGCCCCCAGACCCCCTATTCTCACTTCCTTCGCAAATAACAACTAGCCAGCTTCCCGGCTGGCTTTCGTAATTAAACACTTGGCTTCCAAGGATTGGACATGCAGACTTCCCCGCAAGACAGCAAAGCAAGTGGTGATAAATTGTATTGGAACATGCACTCAGTCCATCCGCAAGACTATCGAAAGACATGTTTGCCAAATGTTTGCCATCTGGATAATCTTGTATTTGAAATCTGTATTTCTCGATTTCTTGTGATATTCTTGTGATATTGATATTGTGATACTTGTGTCTGGTGCGATGCACGAGTTGGAAAAGCATCCGGAGACTTCCGGGGCTTTGGCTTCCGTCTTCAAACCAATCCCTAATCCATTCGATGCTGTCACCCGAGGCGTCGCGAAGCTTCACCTGCAAGAGGACATCCTACGCAGTAGACATCCTATCTACATCACTGGACGTCACTGGACATCACTAGCATTGGCTCATGATGTCACCGTCGACGTCCTCAGATCGTCCTCAGTCTGTGGTCACTTCCGACTGCCCCTTCTTCGCCTCGCCATCATTTCCTCGCATCTCTTCCTGGGAATCAAAAAGTGACAAACATCTATACTATGCAGAGACAGTAGACAACCTGGAAGTATCTGGACCCATCTGGGAAGTATGAGAAGACACCCTTTTCATCACTTTTCCCCTCGTTTCCCATCGTTTTCATTCTTTTTTCGAAGAATTTCAAATCATTCCTTGCATCCACCGTCACGCTCGCCACACCATCACACCCAGAGACGTCCTCTTGCATTTTGAAATGTCAGTGCGTATCCACGCACCCAGATGCCAGCGGCCATGCGAAATTCCACATGCCCTGTTCGCAATAGAAGACCATAATTGTTTTTAGGACAGCGTAGCTCATCCACCACGACATCAAGATCATGGAAACAGCAAGAAGCAGAACAGTACGGATGACGTTGCCTTTGAGTGAAGAGCGGTTCATTTCAGTGTAACCCTGCTCTTGAAATTGCATGTCCTGCTCTGTCATCCTGGCATCATCCAAATAGGGCCAAAGAGCAGCCACAATGGCGTACACTGCCTTCACAGCGGAGAACAACTGCTCGGCAAAGACTAAGCAGCTGAGGATCAAAGATGCAATGGTCAAAGCGTCTTCTTTGCCTGTCAAAGCCTTCTCAATTGCGAGCGAAGAACTTTGGATGTTGGTAAAGAATGCGCCTTCGAAGCAAGTGCTCAACAAGACCCGTGTCGTGATAAGCCTGGCCCAAGTTGCCAAGGAGGCCCTTGTCCATGGGTCGGCTCCATCCAGCTGTTGAATTGTCCGCAGCCTGGTGGCTTTGATTCGCTCGGTTTCACGGGAAACGACCATAGAGAGCCGCCCAGCGTGCCCCAATGACAACACAAGTTCTGGAGCCCAAACTTCTTCCGGCCAGGAATACAACGTGATTGCATATGGGCTTTGAGGCACATCATCTTTGGATTCGATCTTTGGGGGTTCCATCCAAAACCAAAAAGAAAACTGTTTGACTCGAGGGTTGTTGTTGGCATAGAAGGGCGTCCCGCTGTAAAGAGCCAAGATAAGCTGCAGAACCATGAGCCCATAGCTGATGGAAACACAAACGCTCAAGTGTGGCAACTGGTCACCAAATCTGGAATGCTTTCCCACCAAAGCCCACATTTCGTCGACATGACTGGTTGGGCATGAGGCTGTGTGTAGAATCTCAGCGAAAACAATGCCATTTGTGGCAAGATCCAGGTGGCCCAAAGCACTCTTGCACATCTGCATGGCCGCGTAGAGGACGAAAGGGATTTTGATACCTGCTATAGTCCACCCACCCACGGATAAAATCTCCAGAGGAAGCTTGACAGCCATGATCTTCCACTCCAGCCAAAGCGACAAAGCAAGCACAGGGACGTATAGGATCAAGAAACAACTGGAAATTTGGGAGAAACCGCCTTGCTCATCACAAGCAGCAAATTGAGTAACAATGAAGGGAAACAGGCCCCAGAAAACCCACAACAGCAAAGTTGCACAGAAAGCATAGCGCCATACAAAGGCCAGCACGCGGGTCCCTACAGCTCCAATCTTCACCAAAGGATCTGCGTTCCACTCCATCACATAAAGAATGATTTGCACAGCATACTCCTCATATGCCCATGCTGGTAACTCTTCGTTGTGCCACGCAATTGGGTTGTGCAACTCAACACTTGCTGGTTCCTCCCTTTCTTCGTCCTTCATCTCCGGAAGGTCCCGTGATGATGAAGTCGAAAACGAATGCTCTGTACAAAGCAACCGGCGGTATTTCATGGCTGAAATTTGCGAACACTTTACGGAATACACTTGAGGCAAAACACTGACTGCGCAGCACTGATGACAGACATACAGTGTAGGTCCAAGTTGCTGAAGGCCATTACCTTCAACAATACCTGAACCCTTAGTCGCTACAGAAAAAAAGTTCAGTGATTCAAGCTCCTTGTTTTCACTCAGTTTTGCCTGCATGTTGTTTCTCTCTGCCCAAGCCATTCGCTTGGGGGCCTCTCCCAGGAAATTCAAGCATAAAAACAAATCCATCGAAGAAAACAACATGTCCCAATGATTCCAATGCGTCTTTGGCCAAAAGTCGCTTGGGCAAAGGTCAGGATGCAACAGGCTATGGGAAAAGTTGGAAAAGGAAAATGCCTGCTCTGAAACTGAGCCAACTGAAGCAGTGAAAACGGGAGAAGTGCACAGGGTGAATTCCGATCTACCTGGTCCACCCGGTCTAGCACCAACATGTAGTAAAAAATGTTTCTTCGTAGTGATTTGATATGATAAGCTGAGCATAACATACAAAAAAAATATGATTAAGAACTTTGTTTGGATACAACCTTTCATTCGTGGTATGTATAATTCAAATCGTAGTACCAACAATTAATTCGTGGTTTGGGACCCGTGTGGGATAGACGCTGGTCTTGAGCAGAACAATCCCAGGCAAACTAGGTCCTAGGTCTAAAACAATACCTGTTGCAAGCGATCGTAGCCACACAAGTCAAGTGATGAACCGCTGCCAGTCAACTCTGGCACTCTGGCCTTTTTTCCTTAGTGCGCGCCGCGGGTTGCTTCCAGCTATCTTCACGAGCTTGCCTGGTCCCCAGAGGATATGCTACGACTCAGCCTTTTGTACTGAGGTGAAAGCATCGAAAACGGAGAACGGCCTGGAAGTCTCAACTTTGATTTGTCCCCATTTGTTCCCATTTGTCCCCAAGTCTCTCTATCAAAGTTCTGACTCCAAGGGGACACGGTGCTTGTGACTCTGGGCAAATCGATTGCCTGCAGTTTATATCTTGCCCGTCTCTCGGGCAAGCCCTGTCTCTTGCAGGCATTGGGCCCTGACGCCCATTCAAGAAAATTGATGTGCTTGCAAGGGTCAAAGACTCATGAACACAATCTAATAACAGAAAACCCCAAAGTTTGTCATGTAGCTTCGACTAATATTTTGAAAAACGAACCACAGACAGGGTGAAAATCATCACGGCCCACGGGCATATTCATGCATCTAACGTCCGCTGTACTTGCGTATTCACCATGGCAACAGCACAAAGTGAGCTAATGTGACATATATAATAAAGCATAATATAATATAATATGATATAATATTATATTATAATATATTATATTATATTGTATTATAATATATTATATTATATTGTATTATAATATAGTATATTATCTTGTATTCTAATATAGTATATTATATTGTATTATAATATAGTATATTGTATTCTGATATAATATCATATCATATCATATCATATCACAGCATAATCTAATCTAATATAATATAATCTATAATATAATATAATATAATATAACATAATGTAATATAATATAATATAATATAATATAACATAATGTAATATAATGTAATATAATATAATATAACATAATGTAATATAATATAATATAATATAACATAATGTAATATAATGTAATATAGTATAATATAATATGATGTAATATGATATAATATGATATATATATATAACATAATATAATATAATATAATATGATATAATATAATATAATATAATAAAAGATAATACAATATAATATAAAATAATATGATATAGTATAATCTATAATTTTAGATAATTCAATTTAATATAATATCATATTATATACTGTGTGTATGTATACAATAAGCTATCTACATATCGCTAACGAACAAAATGTGTGGTGTCTCCAACGCCACACGGTTTTGCAAGCAAGGGCAGGTTCAAGAAAACCAGCCTGTGCGGATGAAAAATTCAAAAACTGGTGTCCGGGGGAGCTCTTGTCAGCTCGTCAGGAACCTATACATTGCATGTGCTGGACGCAAAGCTGTTTTAGCAGTAGCAGCATGACCAAAAACTTCAGCCGGGAAAATTGGCTGCAACAAAACTCCGCGAGAGTGCACCAACCCCATGTATGTAAGCATGTTCTGCTCACTTCCTTAGTTATTTTCGGTTCAGAGATCACAGAACTTTGTTGATGGTTTCTGGTATCTTGGAAAATGCATAAACCCCCATTTTTCTGCTAGTCCAATCTTGCGCGAAAACGTCAAGTCATCCATACTCTGCTGTTGCTGTGCTCCGAGATCCGAGATCCCGACAAGGTGGCAGGGCGTCGTCGCGGTGCGCGAAGCTTCTTGGACGGCTGTGGAAAGTCTAGGCGTTTGCCGGTGCCTCGTACACGAATCGGTACACTTCCAAACAAGTGCAAATATGAACATTTATTATGAGTTTATTTGCACATCTAGGCTACTACACTAACGTATCGCTAACATGGATGGAGGGGCGGCATAGTGAATTGAAGTCTGTAAATTAAGCATGACAAAACGTTTGTCTCAAAAGTCAAAAGCTTTCTGCTGAACACTCGGGTCCTGGATCAATCACACCCTGTGTATCTCAAAAAAGTTGGTTAACTTTAATACGATTTTTCCAGGAGAATCGATAGCAGCATCACATGGTATGATATATATCGCATGTGTCCTTGCATACAGGGCAAACTGGCAGCATCTTGCAACATCAGAAAAAATGGGTACAAAGTCCAAGATGGTCGATGGTCCGACCTGCTTCGAAGATCACCGGCTTGAACTCATCTGGAACACTGCTGTGCATAATGGGACTGTCCCTGCGGCGAAACGTCACAGGGGAACAGTGAGAGCGAAACAGAGCGAAACAGAACGAAACTGCCAAAAAGGACTCCTTGAGCCAATGATCGGAGAATTGGAAAAACGAAGAGTTTTTGCAACCAACCTTTACATGAAAACCCTCACATCTCACATGGCTCTTTGAAGGGACGAGGGAGGAAGTAGCTTCAATTTGTTTTTCCAAAAAGGTTGTCCGCTTTCGCCTGTACCGCTGCACGTGGGATTCTTGGCCTTGATGAGGGCCACTCCAGCTAATTGAGCAGACCTACCAAATCATCCAAATCTACCAATATTCGGTGAACTGCGCAAATCAAAAAGGCTCTGCTTGCGCAAACAAAATTGTCAAGACAAGGTACAGTATCAAATAACCCCAGTGGAGTAGGGGGCCAAATCTCACTGCTGTCATGCTCTCAATCAACTGATCAGGATTTCCTTTGTTCCTAGCTGAAGTTCAAACTGGAAGCGGAATCCTTCCCACCTTGGCACTTGGCAACACCCATTTTGTGTAGCCATCAAAAGTCTTCCAAAATTTCTGGGCCTGCTGAAAAAAACCAAAGCAAACGCATCAAATTGATGCAACTCTTCAAGAAGGCTTTCCTCATCGCGCACAGGTCCAAAGCGACCAATCAGAAAAATCATTGCCTCCCCTTCATTGATGAGATTGACAAAGGCGTAGCCCAAACTGGCTTTGGAGCGGAAGTCCTGAGAGCCAGCATCTGATCAGGGCAGCACTGAATGCCTGTCCCAAGCAGCATAAGCCGAGGAGCAATTGGAAGGTAAAGGAAGTCGTACTTCCCTTGGAAGCCCTCCTTGTCCATCATGGTACAAACCTTATGGTGTTGGGCACATCTTCACATCCACATCTAGCTTCCACTAGCGTGTTGTCTTGGAAGCCCTAGCTCAATACCGGTCACAGGACACTGAGTCACTGACCATGTTGCGGGAGTAGTTGTTTGGCAGATTTCGCAGCATCACAGTGGTATCACCCGGCTTACGGTGCTTGGCGGAGTGGGTGGATATGCCAGGACCCACATCACCAACAGCTTCCAACAAGGAAACAGGCCGAGGTTCCTGCAGTTACAAGGGCGGATGTTCCATAAGATGACAGCAGTTTCAAGGCTTCAACTGCAACGAATGCAACTAAGGCTCAGGGGAAAATTGCATAAGCAGTTCATCCAAGGGTAGCCTGGGCAAAATCGGCAAATGTTGGTTCTAGCTTTCAAGTTCGAGATCATGTTTCCACACGTTCATCAATCTTTCAACCAATTGCAGTTGCAGGGGTCGCGAGATACTCAAGCTGGAGAAGAAAACATACTAGGACCACCTCAGATCACCTGTGACCTATCCAGTCTATCCAGTGCATTTCCTAATGCCATACCTGTACCTCTTGTACATCTTGATACCTCGAATTGTGTCCTCTTCCATAATCAGTGTCTGCTCCATGCTCCGATGTCATCCATGTCCATATTGTCCATGTCTTCCGAAGACTTCCAGGCCTTTCCATGGTGATGCCCGCTGCCTCCAGGGCCTTCGAAGCTTCCGTCACGGCCAAAGTCCTGGCCGCATCCAATGTGTCGGGCGAAGGCTCTCGCAGCCTCATCAGTGACACGTGACCTCAGGCATAGCGAGCAGCTCATGGACCGGGCATCAATGTGCAAGCCGAAATGAATCGTGGGATAGTTCAAGTATGTTCAGGTACTCTTCCAAGTACCTACCATTTGCAAGATCAAGTTAAGGCCTATTGGGAATATGACTATCACCCCAAAAATGCTTTGATGATGTGAAAATTATATGGGGTGATATAAGTCATTATTAGTCATATTAAATGATACGAACCTGGTACAAAATGCCTCCATTTTTGGGTGGCCATGGCCGAGACTCCCGCCTTCACGACCTTCACGACCGTCGCGAATCGGTCCCATTGCTTCGTGGGGCTCGGTCTCAGTGTCCGTGTCATCCGTTGAGACAGAGCTACGGCTGAGGCGCTCCTGGACATAGGATGACATAGGGGGATCTCATGATATCATGGGGATATACGCAGTAATCTGTGGTAAGGTTTGGGATTGGTACCTAGAAATCTGGTACCCGAAAATTCCTGTGGATTGGAACGTCAGTTTCCGTTTGAAAATTGCCATATATTAGGGTAATATCAATGTTTGGACAACACCACATGACATCGTCAAGGATGTATCGTGATTTGTTGAAAGGAAGTCTTCGTCCTTATCGCATTCACTCCACGCTCCATCTTGGCTTGTCATATGAATGCTCACCCCTCAATATGCTTCAGGATTTGAAAACTAAGGCGGTTGAATTTCGCCTAAGAGAATCCTGACTCGCCAAGAGAAAGAATCATCTTCAGGCAATCAGGTGTTGGAGCAACCCGTATCCCTGAAATCTGTTGACTAAGGTTTGAGACAATGGTCCTTCTTGTTCAACTTTGAGAGGTGAGGATTCTCTGGCTCCGGCAAGTCTTCATTTTCAGGCATCACCTCATGGCCATGCAAACTGATGTGCGCAATCCCATGCAGCAATGAAAACTGCACAACAAAACTGAGGCAACTCCGAAGATCAAGCACTCAGCAATTTCTGCCAGGTTACCCCAAATGGGATTGGCTGCTGTTCCTGGCGGGGTTTCATAGGTCCACTCCAAGTGGGAAGACTACAAGTAGGCATCTTTGAAATCAGTAGCAGTGCGGTTTTCCCTTTGAGAAAGTCGACGTGCGCATTTTATTTCAGACCAAACAATCTGCAGCCCCCTCTCCTCTGGACCAGGACTGATCTGTCGCATCAATCGTGACCAAATGACTGAATCCTGGGCATCCACCCAGAAGCAGGAAGTTAGTTTCCCCACAAAAAACGAACATCTTCAGCAGTGTCGCAACCTCCCCCATTTTTTCACACGTATTCAAGATATCACAGTGCCCCTTTTAAGAACACATCATACCAAGCTACTGGCGATCCGATTAAAATGATCAAAGTTGCCGAAAATGTTGCAAACAATGTTTGCCTTCACTTTCTATATCCCAAGGTATCCCACCTCTTGCTCACCAATGCTCACCGAGGATCTGAATTGTAAGTTGCAGGAAGACCTGTTGGTGTCTTTTCATCCTCCACTTCGATGAATGTCTTCTTAATGATCACTCTGTCGCTTCCTGCCGAATCAGACAAGAAAAAAACATACTCAGTAAGTAGTTTATTTTTTGTGTTATATATATATATCCCCCCTTTTAGGGGGGGTGGGGGGTGGGGGGGGTAAAAACTGAAATATTTCAAAAAGGGAGGGGGGTGTCTCCCCCCCACACCTAGAAATATTTCAGCTAAAAAAATATGGTTTATAATGGTATATAATGGTCTCTCCAGGCCTGGTTGAATTCAAGGCTGAACGTCAAGCTTTGAAGGCTGTTTGGCAAGTTCACTCTCCCCAGTGTCTGGTGGAAGCTACTTCCAAATGTCAAGCTTTGAAGGCTGGTTGGCAAGTTCACTCTCCCCAGGGTGTGCCATACCATCTCTGGGCTAAAATGTGGCATCCGGAGGACCCCCCCATTTCTTTTGGAAGCCCAAAAAACACATGGGGGTGTATATTTCATGTGGTCAGGTGAAATATTTCTCAAAAATTTCTTGCCTTACCCCCCCCAAATATTCCACGGTTAAAGGGGGGGATATATAAATACGGTCCCGCCCGGCGTCCCGCAACCCACTCCCCCCAGACCTATGCCCCCCCCAGCCCCCCCCCCAGCAACCCCCTGGCTTTGCACCAAGGCTTCCTGGAACCTTCTCCAGAACCTTCTGGGGAACCCTGTTGAGCCTGGCCTGGCTCTGCACCAAAGCTGCACCAAAGCCTCCCAGACCTTCTCCGGGACCCTTTTGAACCTGACCCAAAGCCTCCCAGACCTTCTCCGGAACCTTCCCCGGAACTTTCTCCGAAACCCTGTTGAACCGGAACCTTCTCTGGATCCTTCTCCGGAACCCTATTGAACCTGACTTCACTTTGCACCAAGCCTTCCTGGAACCTTCTCCGGGCTCTGCACCAAAGGCTCCCAGACCTTGTCCGGAACCTTCTGCGGAACCTTCTCCGGAGTTGAACCTGACCTGGCTCTGTCCCAAGACCTTCTCCGGAACCTTCGCAACTTTCTCCGGAACCTCGTTGAGCCTGACCCGGCGCCTGCACCAGTGCACACCGGAACTATTCTGGGCTGAAGACCCCATTAGCTTACGCTGTTGGGGAAAACAAACAAAATGCTTAATTTTCTGAAACCTTATTAAAAAGGACAGTTTTCAGCCACATCTTGCAACCGGCCAGCCCCCAAAACCACAAGCCGTATGCTTTTGTCACGCGTCCGAAACAGCAAAACACCACCTGGTTTCGTGCCCACAAGGTAGCAAAATAATGCAGCCAGCCAGCCCCCAAAGCACAGGCTGTATGGATATGTGACGCGTCCGAAACAGCAAAACACCACCTAATTTAGGTAGCGAAATAAGTCGGCAAAAATGCTTAACATCCTTTCTGAAACCTTACTACGACAGACAAGTTTTCAGTTTTTTCCAGTTGCTACCACCTAATTTCGTGCCCAAAAGGTGGCAAAATAAGCCACCAAAAATGCCTAACGTCCTTTCTGAAACCTTACCAATTTTCAGCTAAAAATCTAGGCATGTCAACTTTTGAGTTTTTTGCAACTCTTTGCAGCCAACAAGCACGCCGAGCTGTTGTTGTTGTTGTTGCTGTTGTCGTTGTTGTCGTTGTTGTCGTTGTTGTCGTTGTTGTCGTTGTTGTCGTTGTTGTCGTTGTCGTTGTTGTCGCTGTTGTTGTTGTTGTTGGTGGTGGTGGTGGTGTTGGCGGTGTTGGCGGTGTTGGCGGTGTTGGCGTTGTTGGTGTTGTTGGTGTTGTTGGTGTTGTTGGTGTTGTTGGTGTTGTTGGTGTTGTTGGTGTTGTTGGTGTTGTTGTTGTTGGTGTTGTTGGTGTTGTTGGTGTTGTTGTTGTTGTTGTTGTTGTTGCTGCTGCTGCTGCTGGTGCTGTTGCTGTTGCTGTTGTTGCTGTTGCTGTTGCTGTTGCTGTTGCTGTTGCTGTTGCTGTTGCTGTTGCTGTTGGTGTTGGTGTTGTTGTTGTTGTTGTTGCTGTTGGTGTTGGTGTTGTTGTTGTTGTTGTTGTTGTTGTGTTGTTGTTTTGTTGTTTTGTTGTTTTTTTGTGTTTGTTTGTTTGTTTGTTTGTTTTTTGTTTGTTTGTTTGTTTGTTTGTTTGTGTGTTTGTTTGTTTGTTTGTTTGTTTGTTTGTGTAAAAACTCCTGCAGTAAAACCATGTATTGTATATATCATCGATCTGCCCGATAGCGTTGGTTCAAAACAGTGCCAGCAGCTTAGCGGTTACTTGCCCCCATTGTTGTTGTAACATATTGGTGGCTGACCTTGTAAAATACAGGTTATCAGCCGTAGTCTCACTACTTTGCTATGGGGACCCCAATTGACCATCCTCTCGCCGTTCCAGGGTCAGGTCCATCGGCTGTCGCTGTGCCTAATATGGCCGGGGGCAACCCCGAGCCGATGGATGACGAAACAATGTTCCAACCCGTTGTTGCGTACTCTACCTTCATACAAAACAACCTGTCCCAGATTACTAGTGGGAATACCCTGCAAGTCATGAGGGAAGCTGAACAGAGGCACCTTCAGATAATGCATGGAGTAGTTGTCTCAATTCGAAACGAATGGTCAAGTAGACTCGTAATGCAGGAGCAGGAGTATGAGCAAAGGCTGCAGGAGGTTGAAGGTAATGCCATTAGTGCCCTCAACGAGGAGAGGAAACGAGGCGACGAGATGGAGGTCAGGTTGAATCAGGCTCAGGCATCGCATGACAAAAGAATAGAGGATGTAAAGGCAGAGGCAAACACAAAGCATGATCAGAAAATTGCAGAGGAAAGGAAACGTATCACTAGTGAATTCGAAGCTTCCTATGCACAGACAGTTGAACATGCAAAGAATGCCATAGCTGCCACAAAGAAGCAATATGAAGATCAGGCTGCAATTGATCAGGCCAGGTTCATCAGTTTGAGGACTGAGTTTGAGAACTACAAGAAGGAGATGGCCGACAAGATCAACGAGGCAGCGGCTCAGAACCTTAGCCTTCAGGACCAAATCGATGATCTTCAGGAGCAGTTAAAGCATGTTGCCAAAGCGCAGCATGCCTCCGTTCCGAAAGCATCCGTCCAGAACGCCGAGCCGGCCGCTACCACTAGCGTGCCCCACTTCAATATTGCCACTCCCAAAGCATCCGATGCACAGGCTGCCAGAGGCAGTGATGAGCCGATTCTTGAGTTGAAGACGCCTGCAGTGTTGGCGCAGGAAGCAAAGGCCAAGTTGGATGAGCTGCTCAAAGGTGGCAGTCCCAAGCAAAAGCCGGCTGTCGGCAACGACCAGCCCCAATTGCCAACGCAGTCAGGGTTTTTCACTCCCACTGAAGCTATCAAAACTCCCCCAAATGAATCTCCTAAGAGCGCAACCAAGCAACAGCAAGTTATGGGTCCCTCAGATCTTATTGAATTGGTGAAAGCCTTAACCCAAAGGGAAGAAAAGGATAAGCCAAAAACTAAGGAGGCTGAACTCATCAAGCTGAACAACATGCCCGCTCCGGAGTCATATAGAACTTGGAAGAATCATGTCAGGGATGAAGTGAAAAGCTGTTCAGATCGCCCGGATGAGGCGTGGCTCTGGCTCAACGAGGTGTACGATCAAGAGTGCACCAGAGAGCAGTTGGAGAAGAAACTCCAAGATCCTGGAAAGTTCCTTACGCTGGATACAAAGTTATCAGCAGCGCTCACGCGCTCAGCCGGAGGGGACCTCGCAACTAGGATCTTGAATTTCAAGGAGCAGCAATCCCGAAAAGGCATCCAGGTCAGGGGAAGATATGTTCTGCTTATGTTTGAGGACTACTTCAAGACATCAGAAGAAGCAGGTAGCCTTTACAGAGTAGAAGATCTTTTGGGTGTTGTCAAAGTAGGCGATACTGTCCAGGATCTCCGAAGATTCATCAACAAATGGGATGCTACCCTAGCTGGCATGGCTGTCACCCCTGATGATGCTGTGTTAAGGGACATCTTGTTGAGGCAGATCCGACCAAGTCAGTTGCTGAAATATGACATCGAGGTGTTTGACCGTGCTCATGAGAAATCCCATGAAAAGTCTTACAGTTTTCTTCACCAATCCATGAAGAACTTGATCGATCGTGAACGATTGAGGGAGAACAGGAACCGCATTGCGGAGAAGAACAAGGCTGGGATTAAGGACACAAAGGCCGCACCCGCCAAAGGCGATGGTCGCGGCGGCCGAAAGGGCTCTCCAAGTCGCGGTAGATCGCAGGAACGAGGTGGCAAAGGTGACAAGATTTGCTATAAGTTCCAAAAGGGTACCTGTGATAAGGGGAAGAAGTGTCCATTCAAGCATGTCAAAGATGATAAATCTCGAACTCAATCACCCAGAAGAACCAAAACACGTTCACCATCAAGGGGCAATAAGGATGATAAGGGGAAGAAGATGTCCAAAGAAGAAATGGCCAAAACCCCATGCATCTATCATGCCCAGGGAAAGTGCAGACGTGGTGACAAATGTTTTTATAAACATGATGACAAAGCCGCTGCCGCCACCAAAGACACCAAAAGGGCCAATTCACCCGCTCCCAAGAAGAAGGGCAAGGATTCCACAGCCGCTCCATGTCTGATCCAGAAGTTTGCATGCATCGTCCGAAAACAGCCGAAGGCAACTTCGTGCTCTGATGAGGCAAGTGTCAGCATGAAGCGTCTTAGATTCCGAAAGGCCCCACATGTGATCGAGGTGAAGGCAGTTGGTCGTCAAGTCCCAGTCAAGCACCGTCCAAGAGAGTTCACTAAGGTGTACAAGACAGCTGAAGATGTTCCAGTTTCATCAAAGGTTGAACAGCATGAAGCTCAGGTTCGTGCAAGACAGCTCCAAGAAACTGTGAAACCAGATGTTGCACCAAGTTGTGGGTTTCGTTGTTGGGATGAGGACACACGTGACATCACATGCAAAGAGTGCAGGTTCATCAGCGGTCCCAAAGCCCTTAGAGACATTGGTCGTTTCCCGTCAATTGCCACAGCTGCGCCAAAGGCCGGCGTTAGTTGGCTTGTTGACTCAGGTAGTGAATCCGATC